AAAGGAGGAACGAGGAAGGAGGAAGGAGGTGAGGGAGATGGACCTCTAGCCAGGCTGTGGAGTTGTAGACAGGTTGAGGAAGGAGAAAGGAGGAAGGAGGAAGGAGGTGGGAACCAACAAGAAGCCACCTTTCGCTATGGTGGACTTGCATATTTACCTTCATCTTTCATGATTGGTGCTGCATCAAGAAAACCACTGTAGGACCTTTTGGCTAAGATCGAGTGTAACCCTGTCGGTGTACCGGTTGGACACGGACTTCATCCGGAGAGGATAGACCTGGCAGTAGTTGAGAGTGGAGGACATGAGAGTGTTTGCGTTGTCCTTTGAACATCCGACGTGGCCAGGGATGTCCAGCCATAGCCAAGGTACAGACTCGGCGGTAGCTCTGTGAACATCCGAGATGGTCGTCAATGTACCGCCAGAGCCAGCAGCCATACCAAGGTCGCAGGAAGGTGAAGTGAGTTAAGAGGGAGCTAGCTGTTTCCAAGGCTGGCAGTAAAGGCGAACAATCGGACATTGATTGTAGTTCATTAAATGTCATTTACTTATTGTCGTTCTTCATTTATTGGGATTAAGATGTTGGAGGTGCTAAAGACGAAGAGATGATGCAGGGGAAATAAGGAGGGGCATGACATTGGTTCAAACTTTTTCTTCGTCGTCTTGTTCTAGGTATGGAGGTACAGCCATAGCCAAGGCAGAGACATTGGATCTTCTTCTTCTTCTTCTTCTTCTTCTTCTTCGTTTTTTAAACCCCACGCTGTATGGAATTAGTAATCCGGGAATTCTTTAACCATTGGGTGAAAGATTATGGGCATCCCTTAACAATTGTGAGTGACAGAGATTCGCGGTTCACCAGTGAGCAATGGTAGCAACTGATGCACGTCTATGGCTCTAAGTTGACTATGTCGTCAGGTAGGCATCCTGAGACGAACATCCAGACAGAGCAAATGAACAAGATTCTGCAACAAACGTTGCGTATGTACATACATCCCGACTAGATTGACTGGGACGAACATTTGCCCAAAGTTGCTAGTGCCTATAATAACTCTGTTCACCTGTCTACATGCAAGACTCCGATGGAGCTGCATTTGGGATGGCGACCACGTAGACCCATTGACCGTCTCAATCCGGACCAAGTACATAAGCTTCCCTTAGGAACAAGTGAATTTGCGATACAGTATCAAAAGGATATTGAGAAAGTGAAGGAAAATATAATAAAGGCACAACATCAGATGATAGAACAGGCAAATAAGCACAAAAGGCCTTCTCAATTTGCTGTAGGTGATCTAGTATGGGTGAAGTCTAAGGAGTTTGTCCCTTAAGAGAACATCTCTCAAAAGTTATTACCCGCCTACAGAGGACCTTGGCAACTTTTAGATGTGATTGGAGATGTAGATGGACCTTCCTATGTGATTGAAATTCCTCTACATTTGCATACTTATACAGTATTCCACGCCTCAAAACTCTTACCTTGCGTGACCAATGAGTTGTTTCCAAGTCGCAGAGCGGCGATACCTCCTAGTATGGATGGGAAATATGACGTGGATAAGATTGTTGCTGAAAGCACTCTCCAAACTGGACGCAGAGGCAGACCCCAGCGACAATATAAAGTAAGATTTGCATATCAGGACCCAAGTGAAGATCGCTGGTTCACAARAGAGGAATTAACTGAGTTTGTGCCTCATATTGTATTTGCTTATGAAAGAGAAAGAAGAGGAATAAGTATTATAGATAGATAAAGGTTTTCTCAGAGGACCTCGAAACTAGGCCGGCGAGAGTAAAAGGGYCTTTACCCGATTCAGCCCCTGTTTGGCAAATTYAGCATAATGGGGTTACTCGCCCAGAGCCCCAACTCGTGAAAGCAGATCAAAGGACATGCTCTCTGGGTCAAAAGTCACATCCTAACTAAGTAAAAGTCAATGTCAAAGGTCACAGTTGTGCCCCTGGACGAACAGTTGCATATGGGAGTCACATTTGTTCATCCAGGGGATGTGCAAGTCATGTCTGTTCATACAAGAGATGTGTCTGTTCGTGCAGTATGTGTGCTTGTTCGTGCAGAATGTGTGTCGGTTCGAGCAGTAGATGTGTTTGTCCAAAGGAAGTCAAAGGGATAAAGTCCCAGTCACGAATTAAGTCAGAAGGAGGGTCTAGATGCAGGCCCCAAGTCCGAAATTCAGGCCTAAAGGCCGCAGCAGCAGCAGACCCTGGAGAAAAAGGTACTGGGACACACTCCACAGAGGCTGGGACTGGAACAGGACCCAAGACAGGCTGAATTCAGCCCTCGCAAGGGGAGGCCAACACTATAAAGGACGAGGCAGCCTCCCCATGAGACAGATTCCCATTGGCATTGCTGCGTGGAAGTGCTCAGACACCTGCGCTAGAATGCAGGGAGGGGCGCTGGCAAGAGAAGCTGCGCGAGAAGGGAGATGAGCTGGGCGCTGGCTGCAGGGAAGCCATAGCTGCGCTAGCTTGAGTTAGTAGTAAGTAGAAGTAGTGGGGTTAGTAGTAGGATATCAGTGGGAGGCATTCAGAGTAGATCCTCGCAGATAAGGAGTGTGCATGCATAGCGAGAAGAGAACCACTACAGAGATCTTGAGGGAGAATACAGGGAGAGAGAAGACAGGCTACGAAGTGGGATATGGTGATTACATACCTGTTTGCGCTATACTTGTGAGTTGAAGAGTGATGCTGACTGAGCCAAGTCCTGTGACGATGACTGAGAGAAGAAGACTTGCAGTTTGTTGGCGTTGAACTTTGAACTCAAGATACTCTTGTATAATAAGACTTTGATAATATGAGCTGCGTTTTCTGGTTCCTATCTCATCTCGACTTTGGCTTTGTATGAAGCAACCCTTTCTGTGTGATGACAAATGTGCATGGCAATCGAACACTCCAACAATTGTGAAACGGTCAGGTTCCTTGCAAATTAGTATCAGAGCATGACTCGTTGCACTCACTTATTCGTTGGCATGAGTGAGGCCGGCAAGGGAGACATGCTGGCTTGAAGATGCTGGCTATGGTGATGGTGTAAAGAGAGAGGTGGATTGGGATATGGGAGAGAGGTAGGCCGAAGAGGAAGGGGCTAAGGAGAAGTACTTACCTCGCGTGGAGCTTTAGAGTGCGGAGCGACGAGGAGTCTTCATCAACGGCAGCTGCAAAGGAGAGAAGAATTTTAGGAGGGGAGTTCTTACCTGGTGGGACAGCGGAGGGGTACCTGTGCTGCACACCATCATGGACGACTACCCCATGCAAGGACTGTTGGCCCTCTCTGTTTTGATGGGTCCCTTGTTCCGAGTTTCAAAGCCAGGGCTTACACCTTCAGAGTAGGCTGAAGTGGATCGCCGTCAGGCAGAAAAGAAAAAAGAAAAAGAAGAAAGGAAAAGACAGAAAGAGGAAGAAATAAAGAAGAAAATGCAAATGGAAGAAGAAAGAATGAGGAAAGAAATGAAATAGAAATTGGAGAAAGAGTTGAAAAAATAATTGCAGACCATAGAAGAAGATGAACCTGATGAGGACAGACTCATCAGGCGGTGGGCGGAAAGAGGTGAGACAAGCCAGACAGCTGGTGAACTTGATGTCAAACCGCTGGACTGGTACGGCCAGTATGCATATTCCAGCGATAGGCTTGAGGAAACAAAGGAAGAGAGGGACGTGTTCGTTGCAAGACTAGCAACTATTACAGACCAAAAGGAAAGGGACCTTATGCTTGAGGAAAAACGCGCAGAGCTGCATAATAAAATGTTAGCAGCAAAGCGGCAAGAACTTGATGAGAGGAAAAGGTTGCAATCAGAGGGTGCAAGGTTGCTGCAAGCACAGAAAGATAAACAGGCGGCAACCGAAGAAAAACTTGCCCTTCTGACAGAAGCGGTCCTACATACCAAACAAGAGGTAGCAGCAATGAACCGAACTTTGCAAAAGGTAGAAATGCACCAATACGAGTTTGAAGGAGTCTGGAACACCTTTCTGCAGAAGTCCGTCAAAGATGTGGATCTGCACATTCAATCGTATATTCAAAAGTTGGATAACCATATCACAGAAACCTTTACTCCTGTCGTAATTGATAAGATCATCCGAGGTAGCGGCGCAGGAGGCGGAGGAGGTGGTGATGGAGACGGAGATGGAGGAGATGGAGACAGAAAAGGAAAAGGGGTGTTGCGAGACGATAAAAACACTGACGTAAGAAAAATAAAGGTTAAAGTGTCGTGGACTTACACTGGCAAGAAAGAGGAGAGCGTCCTTCATTGGATTGCGGTCGTAGAATCCTACGTATACAGTCAGCGGATACCTTATTGGGATAGAGTTCTGATGTTTACTTCGTGCATGGCCGGCGATGCGATGAGCTTCGCCATCTCGTTGCAAAAAGAAGCCAACTGCGACACTATGATTGCATATTCACAACAAACTAGAATTGAAGACTTCTTCAAAACTGTCAGAGAACGTTTTGAAGATAAGAATCTAGCTCGCCGAACAGAAATGCTAATTCTGAATAGCGCAGATCGAAAATGGAAGAGTGCATCTGCACTCAAAGCAACGATGGACGAACTCTTGCAATGTGCAGAACATGGGCTAACTCCTACCCAAATCCTCAACAACTTCGCAAGGGCACTTCCTGAGCCTCTCCGTACTCAACTTTATCCCCGCACAAAAGAAGAAGGGATGACTTACGAGAAGTTCAGCAAGATCGCCATAGATCATGCTGGCTTCCTAGCTAACTGCCATTATTGGAAAGATCTGCAAACGGGAAAAAAGTGGCAGAACCGCACAATCTCAGGGAATATACCTGGGAAAGACAACCTCCTTCTGACCTTTGAAGAAGGAGGTGTCGAAACTCTTTCCTATGACCAAATAGACTATGGTCTTGAGGAAGGACCCAATGGTCCGGTAGCTTAGGAGGGGAGTTACGCGGCCGTTGCAGCCCGCGGGGGAGGGCGACAAGGACGAGGACATGGCCGAGGAAGAGGAGGCCGCGGACGCGGTGAAGAGGACCCGGTACCCAGAGGGGTGGTGGCGAAGGTAGCTACTACATGGGTGGAAGGCGCAATGGTCCCTCGCAAGGTGGCCGTGGTTCATATTCTACCAGGGGAAGAGGAAGAGGCGCGTGGTATGGTACGTGGGACAAACCATATCCACCTCATCCAAGCTTGCCCGAATGGGAACCTTGGAAAAAACTGGGAATCACTGAGAAAGTTTGGCAAGAAAGAAAAACCGCTGACCAATGCCTCAAATGTGGTGACCCCAATCACATTATTCCCTATTGTCCAGACTATAAGATACTAAAAGGGAACAACCAGTTGAGGTCTCAGTTGCCTCTACGGGAACTTCGGATGTAGAAAGAAAGACATCCTCCCATTCGAAGGTTCCACTGGCAGAGACTGAAGAGGAAGACAGTCCCCACCTAGTTAATTGTCCAGAGGTAGTAAGTGTATGTACCTCTCTAGGTGGATCCCTCGCTGGCATGGGTGATGCGTTGGCCGCTCGTCGCCAAGCCTTGACTGAGATGAAAAAACGAAGAGGACAGTTAATAATTGCAGATCTTGAAGTAAATAAAATAAGAATTGCAGGAATGATAGATAGTGGATCAACTCGCAGCTATATAAGTAAGAAAGGGTTAAAAAAGCTGCATCTCAGGCTACAGGTTAAACAGCTAGATGAGCCTGTAGTGAGTAAGTTAACTAATAGTACTATAACCATGATGGATAGATATGTTGAAGGGGTTAAGATATACTTCCGGCTCGAAGCAGAGGGGAAGGTGGAACGCGTTCTCCACTCTCTGACTCTCTTGGTGGAAGATGATCTCCCTTTTGACATTCTTTTAGGTATGGATTGGGGTGAAGCTGCAGACGCGGACATAAAGTTAAGGGACCATGAGTGTTGGCTTGGCCACAGGCAAGTACCAGCCCTTCGGGCCTTCTGAACAACTGCCCTTGCGGGTCACACATATAAGCCGACAAGCACTAAGACAGGCATGCAGACCAGCAAGCACGCACCCACACAGACTTAGAAAACTCAGCAACAAGCAGGAAACTCAGCAAGGCATACATTCTATAACCAAAACTCAGAATTCAGTTGTGTCTCAGTCCGTGTTTGGCAGGTCATTACACACCAATGGACTTATGAGAAGGCGAGGACAGACAGGGGCAGAAGTAGAATCTGGATAATACCGGGTGGGGATTTTCGAGCAATTCGGGTAGGCCCAAGTGAGCCCGGTAGGCTTAGAAATCTCTGATAGCTGCCAAAAGGGGGTCATAAGTTATTCAGGGCCGAATAAGATTACAGGTAGGTACATGCCCTCAGGTAGGATTGCAGAGTGGGAAGATGTTCCAGCAAAAAGGCAATAACTTCCGGTAGCCCTACAGTCTTCACCCGAATAGAACGCCCAGTCATTTGATCTTTGTATCTAGACTGAAAGTTCACAACTATTATGACCAGGCCATCTATTTGGTTGAAGAGAGTACTCTCGTGGCGTATGGAGCAGTACCCGTCCAGGAAGGTGTGGAGGTGAGGTGAAGCAAGAGGATATCATTCAAGACTAGATGACCCATTGCGGCTTCGCCCGCAAAAACAGAAAAGGAAAAAAAGCACAAAAGAAAGAAAAAGCATAAGGAACTCCCCTATCATATACCGCCGAGCCTTTTTTTCCCTTTATCTTTGAGTGTTTTGTTTGGGGAGCCATTACCTTCGCAACATCGTTTTTGTTTTGTGATGTGCAAGAACTCTGCACTTTTCTGAGAAAATCCTATCCATTGTCCAGTTGATGTTTTTGCAGCTAAAGATTCAGATTCAGACTTTGTTTGCTGTGTTCTCTGGATATGTTTGTGATCAAGCCATCTTGCATGTATGCATGCCCCGTGCTTACTTGTTGAGTTTTTACGCTATGTGCGCAAGTGCATGCGTGTGTGGGTGAGTCTCACTTTGGTGGGCTCGGATGATGTCATTGACGATTGGCCCGGGGAAGTTGAAGGACGTTGGCTCCAACTATAGGAGTGACACTGATGTTACGCAGGTTTTTCTTTGTATGAACGAAACAATCAACATTCAATCTGCTTGGCAGTTGCTCTTCGGGTGGGGGACTTCTCGGGAGTAGCATTGACATGAGAGCATCTTGGAGCATTTCCGGGAAGCCAAAACACAAAGAAGAAACGAAGTAGCACGTGTCAGAGTCGCATAACAGACAGCTTGGCACAGTCCCCCCCCTTCTCTCTCTCTCTCTCACACACACACAAAATTCTCTCTCTCTCTCTCTCTCTCTCTCTCTCTCTCTCTCTCTCTCTGCAATGACTTGCTGATTTCTGCTGCCGAGATTGACTGCGAGGCTGTACACTAACCGTAGGGTTAGTTTTGTAAATTTTGTTTGCCTGAGGGCTAACCGAGAAACCTGCCTGTTTGGAAATTCGTGAGGGACAGATCTGCAATTCCGGGGAAAATTACAGGCCCGGTACTAGTCGAATTTCTACAGCTACCCTAACTGCCTATAGCAGGCCCGGGCTACCCTAGGACAGACAGGCCCTAAGCGGCCTATACTGCTATACGGTCCTATAGCCTATAGCCGGGTCCGGTAGAGGCCGAGAGGCCAAAACAGTAACGGTACCGGTAGGTCCAGTCAGTCCGGTCTAGGTCTAGGCTAGTGTAGGAATCTATAAGTCGGGAAGGGAAACCGGTAGGGGGATTTTTGGCTTTCATTTTTCGCGTGCAGCGTTGGTGGCCAACAAAAGTTGAGCAGCGCTGAATGCCTACAGCGGCACCTGAGACATCAGCGCAGTGGAGCAGCCATAGCCGACCTACTGAGACAGCCATAGCTGGGACTGTCTTCAGCGCAGCTATCCCTTGGGGGATCTCTGCGGTGGCAGGCTATATCGGAGGTCTTCACTGAGGATATGTGGGTTCTGCTGCTGCGGTAGCAGTCGAACAGCCATAGCTGTCCTCTTCATTGTCAGAGGGACTCATCGACACTGGAGACTACTTCGCTGCTCATGATCTGCATCTGGGTGTATGGCGCTGGCCTCTGGGAGGCTGTTTCAGTGCAGCGCTAGACTCTGAGTGTGTGGTAGTGAGTGGAGTGCGTGGTAATTGAGTGGCGAGACACTGGGTTAAACTYTGTAACGATTATTGAGGTTAATTGTGTTGTGTTGGCTCATCATCTGGGTTACTTTCCGATTGTGATCTTCGCAGTGTCAATTGTGATTGGTTGTTGGGAGTTCATGAGAGAGAGAGAACAGTATGTGTGTGTTCTCCCCACCTGTGCATGGTTGCTCTTTCGCTGCTTATCTCTGATGTGTGTGCARGTGGACTCTGTCTCTTCCTCCCCCTGACTTGTGCATGTATGGGCATGTGTGAGTTCTTTTGTGTGTGAGTGGCAATCAAAGTGTCAAACAACCAAGTTCATAACAGTTGGTATCAGAGTGGAGATTGGACTTGGGAGTCCAGAGGGTTGAGCGCAACAGGGGCAACTTCTCTTTCTGGCCCTAACTGGCGGGAAGTGCCATGGTGGCTCTTTGTCTTCACTAAAGATCCAGTGGAAGAGAAGATCTACAGGCGGTGATCGCAGCATATCAGTTGGGGATTGATCAGGCACCCTGAGCCTGTCTGAGTGCCTGACAGGAAGTGGCGAGAACAGGGGTATTTCGCCATCCACCCATCTGACCTCAGTTGATGACTGGGATCAGGGTGGCGTATTATACCCTAATCCAGTGATTACTGGGTGGCGGCTTCAATCCCAGTGTAGCGCTGAGGGAGGATTGATCACGGATCACCTCCTGCTAAATTAACCCTTCTCAGGGCTAAATTTAGCACCAGCGGCTCATACCCTGCAGTGGCGAGATATCTTCAGGAGAGTTTTCTCTCGCCACTGGGGCAGATTCAATGTATCTGAGTGTTGGGGGTGAATCGCCACATCATACTGGGCATGATCAACAAGTTTCAGGAGATTCTGTACGTGGGAAGCTCTGGAAGATTGTCTGCAAGGACTGGCGAGACCAGGGTTTGGCAGCCATAGCCAAAGCTTCATCACCCACTGAGGGAAATACTTCAAGTGAGTCTTTTCCATATGAATCCCTGAGTAGCGATTAGATTAGCATCAGTAGAAGTAGGATTGATGGTCTGTCTGTCAGTAGTGTAACAATCGTGAAATTGTCAGACTGCAAGACAACCACATTCATCTTCTACCTCCCTACCCTGACTCCTATCTCTCCATCTATTGACCTGTTCTGACTCTAAATTGTTCTGGGACTGCCTGACAGTATTGCGCTGCATCCTGTATGGTCATTCTGTGAATTCTGTACTGAAAAAGTAGTGATACTGTGGATTTGAGTTTTGCGCTGAGTCTAATTATAGTCTAGGCTACCTAGGGTCAGTCATAACTCAAAATCTGACCATCAGAATTCAAGTCTGTCAGTCTGGGGTGAATCGCAATTCTATTTTTAGCAGCTGTGCTAAATCGCTAGTCCAGAAACACTGTATTTGAGTCATAACAGTGTATTCCTGAAACTCGCCATACCTGGGGTTATTTCTGTTGATGTCAACAGTGGCAAAATTTGAGTTTGGGGCTGTCAGGGTGGAGTCTACTAAATCGCTACTACCTGTTATTGTGTTTCAGTCAGTTCTTGCCTGCTTCCATCAATACTACTAATGTGCTTTGCTTTCTGATGGGCTCTGGAATATTAGTGACCCTTGGGATGCTGTGAAAGTGCACTTTGCAACTTCAGTGAAAGTTCAGTGTCAGGAATGGGAAATCATTAGTGAATGATTTTACTGGACATTCTGTCACCCTGATTGCTGACCCCAGTGGTCCTATTCCAACCCTAACCACCTGTGCCCACGAACCCACATCTCTTTGTGAACTGACAGTGCAGCGAAATTGGAGTGTCTGAGTGAGCTGTAAATCGCTGCACCCCTTGCTGTTCCATTTTGGCTTTGTTGTTGTTCTGTGAGGGAAAATGTCTGACGCAGCTGACACAGGTGCAGGGAAGGTTGAGGTCGTGATCAAGGCTGAAGGAGAACCTTCAGCCTCAACTCCTCCTCCCCCTCCCCTGACCCCTGCGGAGCGACGCAAGAGAGAGATTCAGGAAAAACTGTGAGAGCAATAGGCGCTGCTCGCAGAAGCAGAGAGGCAAGAGGCTGCAGAGCTGGAAGCTGCAACAGATGCTTCCAGAAAAGAGCACCTGATGCAGCAGGCTCAGAAGACTTTTGCGGATGCTAGAGTGGCCCAGTGTACCAGGGACCTGGTTGAGCTGGTATTATTACAAGACAAGCTTACAGCCAGCCATTTCACAAACTGGGACGAAAGGATCCAGAGGTTGGAGACCAGAGTGTTTGATCTGGGAACTCAGCAGTCTAAGATCCTGGATGCCATCCAGAATCTGACTGCTCAGTTAACAACAGCCAACCTGATCTCCCCTTTGGTCCCTGTGGGCCCCTCTCCTAAAACCCCAAAGCCTTCTCAGCCTTCCTCTTCACCTCCTTCCTCTTCTCACTTTTCTCGTAAGTTTTCTCCCTCTGTCTCCTCCCAGGCCAAAGCCACACCTCCTCCCACCTTTGCTGCTGTTGTTGCTGGGGACCACAGAGGTCCCAAGATTCCTGCCCCCAGCAAATTCAAGGGGGATGACCCCAAGATTGATGTGGGGGACTGGACCGCTGGAACCCGGGCCTATCTGAAGGGGTTCCAGTGTCCGGAGCAGCAAAAGGTGGCCACCGTTGTGGGGCTGCTGGAGGGGCCTGCCCAGAAATGGGCTACCTCTTCAACAAGTGCCCAGAGCCAGATTTCGGAGGACTGGGCATTGGCACTGGGGGCTGACAAACTTTTGCAGGCCCTGGAGGACAGGTTTGCAGACAAGGAACGTGCCCGCAAGGCTGCTGACAAGATCGTACGCCTTGGACAGCAGCGTTACAGCGGTAGTCTGCAGGCCCTTTTTGCTGAATTTGAGCAGCTCACCTCCACCCCTGGATTGGTTATGTCGGCTGATGATCTGCTGACTAGCTTTTGCAGGGCTGCGCCTGAGAAGTTCTCAGTCGCTTTGTATAGCGCCGGGCACAAAGACTGGCACTCATTTGGACGTGCAGCACTGGACATGGAGGCCAAGCTCCACGTTCAAGCCCCCTCCAGTGACAGGAGGAAAGGCGCCTTCCCTCGCGGTGGTAGAAAGGGAAAGGCGGCCTTTGCTTATGCGGGTTCTGGATCATCATCTGATGCAGGATCCCGGCCTGGTACACCGCCAAGTGGGACTGCAGCAGCTGCTGTTCCAGATGTTGCAGCAGTTGTCCAGCAGCTGCAGGCTGCGCTGGGGGCCTTTCAAAAGGYCGGRTCTSCCTCCAGCACASCCTCCAGCAGCAAGGGGAAGAGCCAGGGACGTCGCTCTTCAACCCCTGCCCGRCGCCCTAATTTGCCACGTGACGTCCGCTTTCCTGCAGACCCCCTCAACCCCAACACCCTTCCCTGGCATGATTTGAAGATACAGGAAGGGGTGTGGAGGAAGAGGAAGGAAAAGGGGGTCTGCCTGAGGTGTGAGGGGCAGCACTTTTTGAAGGACTGTCCCTACATGCCCAGTCCAGCTCAGTCAAAAAACTGAAGCTGAACCTGGGGACGGCAGTTCCCTCTAGTGCTGCAACTGCATCTGCAGCTGCAGCAACTTCAATTGAGACTCACTCCTTCCCATCCAGTGTGGGAGCTGCACGGGCAGCATCCTTTACATATGAGGATCCTGACCTGGATCAAGAACCGAACCAGTCTGAGTGTCAGGCTCTTGCTGCTTTTTTCTTTCATCTGAGAGAACAAAAGCAAACCAAGTCTGACCTCATCCTGCTTCGGCCCCTGATCAACCATCGCAGGATCAAGGGGTTGTTAGACTGTGGAGCCACCAGAAATTTCATGTCTCCCAGTGCAGTCAAAAAACTGCACCTGGGCATGAAAGTGGTGCAACTGCAGCAACCGCTGCAGGTTAGGATAGGCGACTCCACTGTCTTGACCATCAGGGAGAAGGTCAGGGGTATCCCTGTTACCTTCGACAGCGTTGGAGAAGTCGGACACAGTCTGAACTTCTACATATCCCCTGATTTGCCCTTTGACCTGGTCTTCTCTATGCAGTGGCTGAGAGGAGTCAACCCAAGGATCGACTGGCAGATCCCCAAGGTTGAACTGCCAAACAGCAAGGGGGTGTATCAGCCTTGTGGCAGCGGGGAAAACACTCAAGTGGCGGGCTTACGCAGTTTCTTTCTTGCTGCATTATTGACTGGTTAGCCTATTCAGTTGAATGACTCTGTGCGGCGTTTGTGCCAATTTTTTAACTTTTTTTTTTTTAATTTTTTTTTTTTTTGGTGTGTGTGTGTCTGTGGTATGGATCTTGATAGCTGGCAGGAAATGACATGAACAAGGATATCATTGCAGATGATGGAGGGATCGATACTCTTCTGGGGGTTCTGGCTGCGTACAGCGATCAGCCAAGCATACCTCAACAGGTACATACTACGTAGTACTAATTACAAACTAGCTTCTTTTTTTTTTCGTTATTTTTTTTGCCAGCATTGTACTTTGCTGTGTCAGCACTGTCAGGTCCGTTTTCGTTTTTCGTTTTTTTTTTTTTTTTTTTTTTTTTTTTTTGCAAGGAAAATGAGCGATAGCGAATTCCAAAAACCAAGCAGCATCATACACATGAAACCAGATAGCCTTGACCTCGAACCAAACGCGGAATTGCAACTCGAGTTCCACCAAATAGGAGTACAGCAAGAGCTGACGAGTGACAATGTTGGAATAGTCTCATCATCATCAACAATGAACCAATGTCGAATCCCTATCTGGCACTCAGCGCCCAGACTATGAATGGCAGATCCTATCTAGCCTATCTACGATGTCGCTGGTGACGTCAACAGCTTCCCGAAGTACGAGCAGATCTCGGCCAATGCCGTTCGCCTTAAGCACCAGGTATGTCTCACGCTTCACTCACAACCTCGATCCCCCACACAGATGCCACGTGCACCCAAGGACCACCATGTGCCTCCTCCAGCAACGCGCAGGCCAGCTTGGCTATGGCTGCCTGCTTCTTCCCTGCTTGCCTGTGAGCGCGTAGGCACTCGCTTCAGCAGCTGGCGCAGCAGCGCTTGCGCATAAGCAGCGAGTGCCCGAATGTCTGGCCAGTGGCCAGGCCCTTTCCTTTATGGAAAGTGGCTGCCAGCCGTGGGCTGCCAGGCTGGCCTGGGCCTCCCCACGGAAGCCCCTGTCCCAGGGAATCTTCCACAGGGCCTGGGGTAGGCCCCAAGTGGCTGAGCCACTGTCCCAGGGAATTTTCCACAGGGCCTGGGATGGTTACCCGTGTCCAACTGCCAGCGGCCTGTGTTCAGCTCATGCCCCGTGTCTGGCCCAGGGCCTGCCTCAGATACATTTGGAAAAAGGCAGGCAGGGCCTGGGCTCACTCAACGAACTGACGCTGTGCAACTGCCTGAATTTCCTCCTGTCGTGTCAAAACACAAACAGGCCTCTCGTCACTTGTCAGGCCTGCCTTCACTTAGGCCGGCCTTTCTCACTGAAACAGGGCCCAGTGGGCTTTCTGAGGCTTTTAGCCTCACAATATCTTTTTTTCTTTTTTCTTTTTTCTTTTTTCTTTTTTTTATAAACTACACTGTTTTCTTCTCTCAAATTCTTTTTGTCTCTCGCTACCTTTCCTACCACTACTCCTAGGACTATATAGAGGGGACCCCTGCAAGCATAGGGCCTTGCCCCCTGCTCCAACAGCGGTAGTCAGAGATGGGGTGGGGGCGCCAGTGGGGGTCCGGCTAACACAAAGACCGAGCATTTTGCCAGTAGCTGCGCCTCCCTTTCTCATCGTCCCCCAGCCCTCATCGAGTAGCAGCAGAGGCTATGGCCAACACTCTCCCACACACCGCACACAATCCACTCACGCTCGCACTCACACCCGTGTTGGTCATAGACCCCACTAATACCGATCAGGGGTATCCAGAGGACTATCACAGTCCGTTGGCAGTAAGTGCACCGCAGGCGGTCATGGGGCTTGAACCCACAACCTCCTGAATGCCACTTGCGTGCCTAACCAACTGAGCTAAGCCGCTGGATCTTTTTTTCCCTTAAAGTGCGTCTTCATTTGCGTGCTTTGCTTTTTTTTTTGTTTAATATTGGGACCATTTCTCAATTTACGTGTGTCACCTTGCACAGGGGCCATGTTAATTACCCTTCTCTGTATCGTTCTGATTTTAACGGATGTCCCGATGGACCATTTGTGTGCTTTCCTATGTCAGGTTTTGTTCTTTTTACCTTTTATGTCAGGTTTCAGTGTCTTTCAGGATTCCGATCATCTTCGGTTATGGGTGCATGAAAACTTTTTTTTGTGGGAATTAGGAATTTAGGACAAGATTCAGCAATATATATATATATATATATGAGTCGGTGAAACTCCGACGAAACAGTTTGTCACAGCCCCTCGTTTGTTGTCCTCTTCTCCCTCTCTGCCTACGGTTTACTGGGCAGTTCTATTTGACGATATATAT